TCTCCGGCGATCCCTCTGCCTCAGCCTTCCAAGTAGCTGGAACTACAGGCGTGCGCCACCACACCCGGCTAATTTTTTGTTTTATTGTAGAGATGAGGTCTCACCAAGTTGCCCAGGCGGGTCTCGAACCCGCGGGCACAGGCAATCCACTCACCTCAGCCTCCCAAGGCGCAGGATTACAGGCTGAGCCACCGAGCCTGGCTCCTCATCTACATTTTAGATAACTTTTAAGATTTGAATAATGAACTTGCCTGTATTCTATCTTGTAAACTCTGAAAGAAAGCCACATAGGCTAAATTTTTATTTGATAAAACACTTGAATTCTATGTTTTATGCATTTTCAGTGCTGTTTGCTTATTAAGTATTGTAGTTCATTTGCAAAAAAGAATTAAGTGAGGCAGGGCACGGTGGCTCATGTCTATATTCCCAATACTTTAGCAACAAATATTTAAGGACCTATATATGTTTGGGAGGCTGAGGCAGGAGGATTACTTGAGGCCAGGAGTTTGAGACCATCCTGGGCAATATAGCAAGACCATGTCATAGATAGATGGACAGAGAGAGAGAGAGAGAGAGATAGATGGATGGATGGACAGAGAGAGAGAGAGAGATAGATAGATAAGATAAGATAAGATAGCTGGGTGCGTTTGACTACTTGGGAGGCTGAGGTGGGAGGATCAGCCCAGGAGTTTGAGGTTACAATGAGTTATGATTGTGCCACTGCACTCCCACCAGGGCAATAGAGCAAGACCCTGTCTCAAAAAAAAAGAAACAAAAAGAATTGAGTGAACACACATGCCCTTGAACATGGAAAACAATTTTTATGACCCAGGTGATTTTAAAGTTTATTCCTTCTAGTAACAGTACATTCCCCTTTATTTGGACTGATGAGAAAATTTTAGAGAGAATGATAGGGAAATCCATCACTTTTGCTCATTGTCAGATCAGTAAATTTCTGTGCTAAAAAATCTAGGTCAGAAAAATGAGATAGTTGGGAGCAATTCCTATGTTGTAGGTCCCCTTGCCCAATCACTGACAGTCTTGTAAATATGCTCTAGTAAACTAACTTAACTTTATTTCCTCATAATTTGTGCTTTTGGCATCAAATGATTAGATCGTGGTCTTTTATTCCCATGCAGGTCATGCACTATCTAGGCCAGTATATAATGTTGAAGCAGCTTTATGATCAACAGGAGCAGCATATGGTGTATTGTGGTGGAGATCTTTTGGGAGAACTATTAGGATGTCAGAGCTTCTCCGTGAAAGACCCAAGGTAAAAATGAGGGTTTGTGTATCTTTTTTGGGTGTTTGTACATAGCTGCTTAATCTACATGGTTATTAGTAGTTAATTAATTAATTTTTTTTTTTTTTGAGTTGGAGTCTCACTTTGTCACCCAGACTGGAGTGCAGTGGCCGCTCCCAGCCACCGCAGCCTCGACCAGCTGGGCTCCGGCGATCCTTCCACCTCAGCCTTCCATGTAGCTGAAACTACAGGCGCACGCTACCACACCCGGCTAATTTTTTTGATTTATTGTAGAGATGAGGTCTCGCCAAGTTGCCCAGGCAGGTCTTGAACCTGCGGGCTCAGACAATTCACTCACCTCGGCCTCCCAAAGCGTGAGATTACAGGCTGAGCCACCGAGCCCTGCCAATTTTAAAATAAACTATATTTTTTAATCTAAAAGAAATAGAGTTGATTAGAGGTGTTAGTTGAAGGAGAGCTTCAGGCAGAGTGAACATTGTGTAAAGTCATGAGTAGGAGGAAGCTTGATGTGACTAGGTTAGAATTTTGTGAAATAATTGTTGGAAAGAGTGAAAGAGTAAGCAGATGAGAGAAATGTAGAATTGCTGGACAGTTTGAGATTGATAGTCAGCTTAGAATTGCAGTAGAACTAATCTAACCTGTTCTGTTACTTTTCTCCAGCAGCATGGGTAAATGGTTGTTAGCGTAGATAGTCAAAAGCCAATTAGTAATTTAGAAGCTAGCATTCTCTTTCTCTCCATAGCTTTTATGACTGGTTCTTCTGAACTGTTTCGTCTTATATTAAGACTCCTCTCCTCCCCCTCTCTCCAATTAAAATGTAAAACTTAACTCCTAGAAGGAAGGAATAATTTCCAAAGGAAATCTCCCCACTTGGGTTACTATTAGCTCATGAAATAAACTATAATCAGTTTTTTAATGGGGGCAAAGTAACACAATGGCCTGGACATTAACATCCTAATATTTAAAGTAATTTTTTAAAAATCTGTCCTGGGAAAGAGATTCTGCCTCTCTATGCCTTATAGAGAAAGTTTGGAGATAACATATTTAATGAAAAACCACTGATATCTTCAGCATGGCATTTGGGATTGTTAATTTTTTATCTTATGTCTTTAACAGCCCTCTCTACGATATGCTAAGGAAGAATCTTGTTACTTTAGCTACTGCTACTACAGGTATGTTACATCATATTTCTTCAGTCTGTATCACAGTTTTGAGTTTAAGGGGGCAAATCATGGAAAAGCAAGGAGGATCAGGGTGAAAGTAGAATACCATTTTTGGCATGACTGGGAGGAATATATATTACTGGTCACACAGAATGTTATTATTATGTTATTTAACTTCTCACTGTGAAAAGTCTCAAACATAATAGAATAGAGAGATGCCCACCTCCTAGACATACTGTTAATATATTTGCTACATCGAGATATACTTTAAAAAATCTCTAACAGATAGGGATTTTTTTCCCTTCAAACATACAATACTATTATTACGCACAAGAAAATTAATAATAATAATTTTTTTTTTTTTGAGTTGGATCTCTGTCGCCCAGGCTGGGCAGCCTCAATCTTCTGGGTTCAGGCAGTCCTTTCGTCTCAGCCTTCTGGGTAGCTGGGACTACAAGTGTGTACCACCATGCCTGGCTAATTTTTTTAGTTTTTTGTGGAGATGGGGTCTCACTATGTTGCATAGTCTGGTCTCGAACTCCTGGGCTCAAGTAATTTCCTGTCTCTGCCTCCCAAAGTGCTGGGATTACAGGCATGAGCCACTATGCCTGGCCAGTGATAATTTTATAATCCTATCTAATAGCCAGTTTATGTGTTGTTTCTCCCAGTTATCTCAAAAATATCTTTTATTTTTGTCTTATTTAAATTAGTATGCAAAGTCTATACATTGAATTTTGTTGATATGTTTTGTAAATGTCTATAATCTATAAAACTTAACCTTCCTTTGTTTTCATGTCATTTATTTGTTGACAAAATGGGCCATTTGTCTAGTAGAATTTCCCACATCCTCGAGTTGGCAGATTGTATTCTTATGATTTTGTTGAATCTGTTTCTTTAGCCTCCCTATTTTCCGTAAACTAGTAGTGCTTGAGTAAATTCAAGTTTAAATTTTTTGCCAAGAAAACTTTATAAGTGATGCTTTTGTACTTCTGTTTCATCACATCAGAGTGATGTAAGGTCTGCCTGTCCTTTTTTTTAGTCATGTTAAGATTCTGTAGGATCATGTGGTATCAGTCTTACCTATCTGTTATAAAAGTCCCAAAAGGAACCTTAACCTAATGGTTTTAGCTATTTGTTATCTGAATGCCAATTTGCCTAACTCTGCTTGATTTTAGACCTTTTAAATTTCTACTCTTTGAGTTTAATCTATTACATATGTACAGGAAACTGGCTGCTTTGGGGTCTGAAGTCTCCAAAGTGGTGTGTTAGAGATAGGTGAATAAACTGAATACACTGAAATGCAACTGTATCTTGCACTCGTTTCCAAATAATGAAACTTTTTCCCTGTCACTCCTACATGAAACCCATTTTTTTTTTTTTGAATCGGAGTCTCATTCTCACCCAGGCTAGAGTGCAGTGGCACGCTCTCAGCCACCACAGCCTCAACCTGCTGGGCTCAGGCAATCCTTCTTCTGCCTTAGCCTTTCAAGTAGCTGTAACTACAGGTGTGTGCCACCACGCCCAGCTAATTTTTTTATTTTATTTCACTGTGGAGATGAGGTCTCACCAAGTTGCAGGCTGGTCTCGAACCCCTTTGCTCAGGCAATCCTCTCACCTCCACCTCCCAGAGTGCTGGGATTACAGGCATGAGCCACTACGCCTGGCCTTACATGAAACCCTTTTGTGAGCTTCACATTAGATTTGAGGTAACATTGTCCTTTGAAGAAAGCCTAAGTTTGTAATCTCTTCAGATCAGCTATCTTTTGATAGTTTACTGATATAAACAGGTTGAAAAGAATCTATTCATAATAAAGATTTATTCCTTAAAGTCAGAGAAGGAGACTTTACTCTCATATTGAAACATGATTTTGAACTTATTTTGAATTTTGAAGCCTGTTGATTTCATTGAACTGTTTGCCCACTTCACCCGCTTCATGTAGCTGTAAATTTTTATTTGAGAGGGAAGGACTTGCAAGTGATATGGCAGCTTTATAGAAATGTAGTCACTTGTGAAATAGTATGACTTTCTGGGATAGTCACTAAAGGTTTGACATTCATGGAGAATTTTATAATTGCTGATCTACTCTTTCACTCAAATTTGCTTTCTGATTGATCTACTCTGAATATCTACACTTTTTTCTCTCATTTTCTTTCTTGTATTTTTTCTCTGCAGAATTTAACATGCCGTGTGTTATAAAGAACATTTTTTTTTATAACAGATGTTTCAGTTGATCCTCACAATAAATCTGTGAGAAGAGTCTGTCCATGAAGAAACCAAGGTTTTTTTTTTTTTAAATAGAGTGAGTGGTTTGCCCAAGATCACACGCCATTGATAAGTGGTAGAGCAGAGATTTCTGACTGGTCAGCCCTTGCTCTTCCTGCTGTGCTATGTATTGATGTCTCCTTAACCCTTGCTTGTAATAGAATTTGCCTCCCAAATTTTTTTTACTCATTTTTTCCTCTGAGCATTAAATCTTTAAAGCATTTGCATTCTTTAACTTACCATCTTGAAATAATTTCAGACTCAGCAAAAAGTTGCAAAAGTATTATATAGAATTTCCATACCCTTTACCCAGATTCCCCAAATGGTAACATCTTACATAACTGTAATACAATGACCCAAACCAGGAAATTGCCTCAAGTAATTCTGATTTGTTATCTGCCCTGACTTGCACTTGGCATTGGTGCGTGTGCTTGGCCATCTCTTGATTTTCCTAATTTGCGTTGCATGTGTTTTATTTGAAAGAGCAAATGAAAAAATTGCTTTTCATATAATCTATTTTATACCTTTGCAAATGGGGTAAACCTTTTATTTTGATGGTTGGAGAAAAAGGCTTTATTTTATCTTATTTGTGCCACCCCTTGATCCCTACTGCCTTCACAAAGAGGTGTCCTAGTTAACCTTATGTAGGCGAGGGAAACTAGCCCCAAGGAGAATTGACAGGCTATTGACCTCCTCCCTGGGGCTCCCACAGCTCTCTGCTCTCTTTGCCTTCCCTATACCTGGTACAGTACATCATGTGGGGCTCCAATCCAAGTTGTCTGCTACCCTCTGGCCCACAGTCAGGAACAGCTATGGGCAGCTGGCGTCTTTTCCCTGCCCCTGTTACCCTAACCTTGACCACCTTCTTCATCATGGTCTACCCTCTTCTTTCCTCTTGCCTTCCTGGAGTTCTGGGAATAGTAGAGAAGAAAAGGGGGCACTGGGAAAAGAAAGGACCCACTGAGTAGTGTGGCCCCCACAGTCTTCCCTTGGAGATTCCCAGAGAATCCCCTACTCCTTTCCCCATATCTCTGTGTCTCTCTGGTGGTCTGAGAATCTATCTCTTCCACTTTTCGTTTCTGCTAGGTTTTTTTTCCCCCTGGAAGAGGAGATGAAGGGGAATGAAAGGGGTAACCTAAAGGGTAGGGTCTTTGTGAGGTCGTAGTCTTTGGAATTGCAGGTGATACATTTGCTAAGTGTCTTTAATATTGTCTTTCAGAAGTTCACACAGTTGCACACACAGATCAGAACAAGGCAGGGACCACCAAGGGTAGGAGGAGGGGCCAGCTCTCCGGGGATTGGGAGAGCCATATCCTGGGGTCCCTTCTGCCCGGCTGCCTAGGGGTTGATATGGGTGGAAGGGAGCATTTTTTTTTTTGAGTTGGAGTCTCACCCTGTCGCCCAGACTGGAGTGCAGTGGCCGCTCCCGGCCACCGCAACCTCGGCCTGCTGGGCTCCGGCGATCCTTCCACCTCAGCCTTCCAAGTAGCTGGAACTACAGGTGTGTGCTACCATGCCCGGCTAATTTTTGATTTGTTGTAGATATGAGGTCTCGCCAAGTTGCCCAGGCGGGTCTCGAACCCACAGGCTCAGGCAGTCCACTCACCTCAGCCTCCCAAAGCGCGGGATTACAGGCTGAGCTACCGAGCCCGGCAGAAGGGAGTATTTACAGAGAACAGGACATGTTTCTTATTCCAGGGATAAGGAATGAGGAATTTCCCAACTGTCATTCAAAAGCAACAACAGGATAGTTTCTGGGATTAACAAGAAAATAGGCAGACCTGGGTGGAAGAGAGGCAAAACTGTACTTGCAAAGCAGGAGTGTGCATGGGAGTTTGGCAATCTCAGGGCTGGGTCCTCTTCCTGGGAGAAAGGGAAGAGTTCGTCCTTCTGTGGAAGAGGCCTGGAACTGAAAATGCCTTTATTTAAAGTGAAGGTGGTTCTTTCTAAATAATTTCTCCAAATTTTCCCATGTGTACTAAGAAAGGTTGCCCAGGCTGGTCTCAAACCCCTGAACTCAGGCAATCCTCTCGCCTTGGCCTCCCAAGTGCTGTGATTACAGGTGTGAGCTACTGTACCTGGCTTGTATTTGGATAATCGTTTTGCATTGTAGCTTCCCCGGGTAACTTCTTTTTGCCTGTGATTATTTTAACCTGAGTAAGGTAGTAAGGCATTAGAAATATAAATGACAGTAATAGAATTGCTATATTATTATTATTTTTTGAGTTGGAGTCTCACTTCGTCGCCCAGGCTGGAGTGCAGTGGCTCGCTCACGACCACTGCAGCCTCAACCTACTGGGCTCAGGCAATCCTTCCACCTCAGCCTTCCAAGTATCTGGAACTACAGGTGTGTGCCACCACACCTGGCTTATATTTTGATTTATTATAGAGATGAGGTCTCACCAAGTTGCCCAGGCTAATCTCAAGTCCCTGAACTCAGGCAATCCTCTCACCTCAGTCTCCTAAAGTACTGGGATTACAGGCTTGAGCCACTGTGCCCCGCCTAAAATTGCTTTATTAAGGAACTGCTCCATATGCACTATATAGTGATTAAACTTTGCTTTGAGGACCACTCTGGTCAGGAAATACTGTCTCTTGAACTTTTCTTCTTTTTTTTTTGAGTCAGAATCTCACCCTATCTCTCAGACTGGAGTGCAGTGGCACACTCACGGCTACTGTAGCCTCAACCTGCTGGCTAAGGCAGTCCTTCTGCCTCAGTCTTCCAGGTAGCTGGAACTACAGGTGCATGCCACCATGCCTGACTGATTTTTTGATTTATTGTAGAGACAAGGTCTGGCCATGTTGCTCAGGCTGGTCTTGAGCCCCTGAGCTCAGACAGTCCTCTCGTCTCTGCTTCCCAAAGTGCTGGAATTACAGGTATGAGCCACCATGCCCAACTTCTTGAATTTTTAATTGTCTCCATTAAAAATGCTTCCAGAGAGAGTGTGTGTTTTTTTTTTTCTTTCTTGAGTTGGAGTCTCATTCTGTCGCCCAGACTGGAGTGCAGTGGCACGCTCTCGGCCACCGCATTCTCGACCTTCTGGGCTCCAGCGATCCTTCTGCCTCAGCCTTCCAAGTAGCTGCAACTACAGGCGTGCGCTACTACGCCCGGCTAGAGAGAGTGGTTTTTTTTTTTTTTTTATGAGTTGGAGTCTCACTCTGTCGCCCAGACTGGAGTGCAGTGGCCGCTTCTGGCCACCGCAGCCTCGACCTGCTGGGCTCCGGCGATCCTTCCGCCTCAGCCTTCCAAGTAGCCGGAATTACAGGCATGCACTACCACGCCCGGCTGATTTTTTGATTTATTGTAGAGATGAGGTCTCGCTGCCCAGGCGGATCTCGAACCCCCGGGCTCAGGCAATCCACTCACCTCAGCCTCCCAAAGGCGCGGGATTACAGGCTGAGCCACCAAGCCCGGCGAGAGAGTGTTCTTAATTTCAGTTTGAAAATGTTTGCTTTGTGCAGAACGACTGAATTGTCAAATCAGTTATAGGATCTCTATTCTTCCTCTTGCAGTCTTTATTGAATGAGGATGATGTTTTCCATAAATATCCTGTCTCAGGACCTGATAGTGACTGATCCACAATAGACTTATTTGGGTGCCTGTCAATTACATACAGCCTCATATAATGAATAGTCCAGATTATTAACTTGCCTGGAGCTTGCTCTTTTCCTGTAGCCAAGATTTTATCTTCTGCTTGAAAAATTTCTAAGTGTTTGGAATATATTTCTCTCTTGGACTGATGCAATATCTAAGAATTTCTCTTTGCTGGGTTTTTGTTTTTTCTTTGCTTCATTTTATTAGTCTTGAGAAAAACTTTATCCGCTTCCTTTTTCTTTTTAGGAAATGTTTATAGTAACTGGGAAAAATAAGACTTGATGAAAAAAATCCAATTTATATACAGGTGATGGGAATTTAAACTATGAAATTATCATTGACACTTAGAATGTGGTTTACATTAAGATGCTACTGTTTTATAAAGCAGCTGAGGAAAGTTCCAGATTTTGAGATCTCATAACCCTGTATGACTAATAATTGAAAATCAGAATAAATTTAAAAAGCCAAACACTTTTTTGTTGTTGTTTACAAGTTAGGGTTGGTGATACACAAAGAAATGATAAAAACTGTCTCCATTTTATCCTGCTTGGAACCAGTTTTTATTTAAAAAATTAAAAACTTTCTATAGAAGAACATTTTTAGTCATTTTTTACTTTTTCCCAGATTACATTTTGGTAATATGTTTTGAATATGACCTGTCTTGGTCTTTGTGATTTTTATCAGTTTTGATTTTTCCCTTGCAAATAAGACCCTTATCCAGCCAACATGAAGTACATCTCTAGGGACCTAACTTGGCTCCAGGGTTGTTTGCTGAGGTCCTTTTTGTGTGGAAAGAATGGTTATTACCAGGGAAGGTTTCCCTTTTGTTTTACTTGCTATCCAGATGCTGCTCAGACTCTCGCTCTCGCACAGGATCACAGTATGGATATTCCAAGTCAAGACCAACTGAAGGTAAAATCACCACACGGTGACTTCTTTTGTTGTACAGAGTGGCCCCTTCTCTGTACCTATGGATCTTGGACTCCCAAGGCCTTTCCCTGAATGTGGTAAGAATTTAATAAGAAAGGCTCTTGGGAGTTCACAGACCAGGGACAGAGTGAACCTTCTCTGTTCTTCCCATAACAGAGTTCCAGTCTCTGAATCTTTCTTTGGGATGTAGCACTTCTGATCTTAAGTTCTTCCAGTTGCATTTTCTTTGGGTTTGTGTGTGTGCCTGTGTGTGTGTGTTTGAGGAAACTTCTTTATTAGGTTTTAATGGGCTTGTTGCAGTTAAGTTCATGATAGACTGTTTCCTAAAGCTTCCCCAAACCTGGGGAAACTTTATAAGCATCTTGGTTTATGGTGAGGGTTTCACATCTTTTCTGAATTATGCCTAATTTTGTCGTAGGCTAGAGGCTTTATACAGACAGCTGTTTTTAACAGTAGATTTTGGGCTTTGTGCAGTGTTTTCCTCCCAGGTTTGGGATTCTCCTAGCTCTGCTCACAGTGGGTTGAGGAGAGGTGTTGCCTTTACTTGACTGATGACTGTTGTGAGCTTGCATTCTCTTTCTTGTGTGTAACCCGTTGTGTCACACACTAACTGGTGAGCCAGAATGGAACTGCTACATCCCCTGGTCTCAATTATTTCTACTGCACTGATAGATACCTTTCCCTTCTTTCAGCAAAGTGCAGAGGAAAATTCCAATTCCAGGAAAAGAACTGAAGAAGGCACTATTTCCACACTGCCTACCTCACAACATAAATGTAGAAATTCTAGACAAGGTAAGTTTTGGATTAAGGCTACGTGTATTTTTTTTGTTTCTCTCATTTTTTTGTATGTCTTCATATGTGAAGTAGGAAAGGCATATGTTATAATATCTCATTCTTTCTAAAATCGTTTTATCAGCCTAGTCACTATTATTAGCTTTGAAGATATTTTGCTCTTTTAGCAGCCCGTGATTACTGGGATGGTGTAAGACCCTTTCATTAGCTAGCATGCTAACAGAGGATAGCTACATATTTATCAGTTTTGCCATCTAGTGAATCTTCTATATGCATAAATTCAGTTGCCTTAGACTTTTTCATCTTCGTATTCCTGTACATATTTGATTTGGTTAGAATTTATATTTTGATATCTACTTGAGGCAAAGGCTAATTTTCATAAATTTTGAAGTTTGCAAAAGTGACAAAATGTTCTTACTATTACAGAGCCAAGAATGAGATATTAGAAGACTAGTATAGGTTCAAATCCCTAATTTGAACTGCTCCAGAGTCTGAAAACTTTTGAGCACTGATATAATGCCATGAGTGGAAAATTCCACACCTGACCTCATGTAACAAGTTGCAGTCAAAACTTTGTTTCACACACACAATTATTTTAAAAATTGTATAAAATTACCTTCAGGCTATGTATATTGGTGTATACGAAACATAGAGGAATTTTGTGCCTAGGCTTGGGTCCCATTCCCCAAAGTATCTATCTCATGCATATGCAAATATTTCAAAATTCAGAAAAATGTATTTGCCTTGTATGATAGTCACCATCTTTGCCACCCTATTACATATGATAGATATGGTCAGGCTAAATGAGTTAACCCCTATTTTTCCCAAAATTCCACTTTATAAAATATCTTCTAAAATCATGTAGGTTTGTTTGTGTTTTTTTTCAATTATATATAAAAATCATAAATTCCCCAATGATATTTTATGGTGTGGTTTCTAGTCTAGGCACCTGGCTCACATATGGACCAACAACAGGCTAGGCTTGAAGCTTAAATTGTTTTAAATGTTTATCATGCTGGATTGTTTTCTTTACATTGCATTTTGAACATAGACTGAATGTTGGTCTACCTAGTTACTTCAAAACTATTCCAGTGTGTATATTTAATGTGTACTTTTGCTTCTTTTTTTTTTTGTTTTTTTTTTTTTGAGTTGGAGTCTCACTCTGTCGGCCAGACTGGAGTGCAGTGGCACGCTCCCGGCCACCGCAGCCTCGACTTGCTGGGCTCCGGCCATCCTTCCGCCTCAGCCTTTCAAGTAGCGGGAACTATAGCTGCACGCTACCACGTCCGGCTAATTTTTTTGATTTATTGTAGAGATGGGGGTCTCACCAAGTTGCCCGGGCAGGTCTCGAACCCGCAGGGTCAGGCAATTCACTCACCTCGGCCTCTCAAAGTGCGGGATTACAGGCTGAGCCACCGAGCCCGGCACTTTTGCTTCTTTAAATGCAGGTTCTTTCTTATTTTATACTTAAAAGGCTGTTTAAGATAAAAGAACACAGCCAATTAAATAGACTGTATGTTGTTTATGATGGAAATTTTGGGAATAAATAGTTTATTATTTTCAGCAAGGTCTGTAGATAAAAAGGACAGGATTTTTACTTATGGAAAGAATGGCCTGTTTTCATTTCCTTCACAATAAGTTGTACAGCTTGAATAGAGAAGGATTACTTTAAATGGCACCATGTCAGGAATTTGATTTCTGATAATTTCAGCACTGAGTAAGTAAAAATGTGGTTGAAGTTTCCCTGGCCACGTATATACGTTTTGGTAGGCAGTATTGACATAGTTTACAAGTAGATAGAATAACCTTTTGCTCTGTCGGGGACCCATTTATTGCAGAAATTCTTTCAATCGTAAGTTCCTGAGCATGTTAAAACACCTGTGGTTGCCATTGGTCTGTATAGTGTATTGGGAAGAGGTAGAAGAAAGTGAGAAAGTAGGAAAGGAGTAGAGCACAACAAAACAGACTGGAAGAAGGGAAAGAAAGAAAAGAATTGTGTGTGATAGCTACAAACTTATGTTATTGTCTTCAGTGTCATGCATACATGGAACATGAGATCTTTTACTTGAAGTATGTGGGACCTCAATATTTGTGCTATGTCTAGATACCTCAAAAGAGCCTGTTGATCCTGAATGGACAAATGTATGTTATTTGGACAACCTAGAGCTAAGTGTTTTATAATGGTTGTTAACTACCAAGACAAATAAATTATTGAGAAATGTTCCAAAATATGCAGTACCAGTGAGACTACCTTGACAGTCTTGTGATGCCAGTTATTGTCTGTACTGCCTTACTTCCATTTCAAGGGTTAGGTCACTATGTGACCACCATTTGCAGTGCAGTGGATTGAAATATTATCAGGCACTGTGTACTAGAGCAAATTATTCTTTAGTTATTACAGTGGTTGGGATATTTAAATGCCAGTAAGTGACCATTTAAAAATCTTTTGGTAACAATGTTTAGATAATGCTTTTAGAGTTAAAATTCCTTCATAAATCATTATCTACCTCTAATGTCATTACTTGCTAATGAAGTCTAAACAGGAGAGGACATTTGTGCTCTGCCACTAAGACAGATACTTGATTTCTGGTTCTTTCTTACTTAGAATAGGAATTTCTTTTTACCTACCTTGTAAAGAGGTTGCAAGTATTGTAAAGAGGGATTTGGCTCTTGACTATTCTATACCTTTTTATCATCCTTTTTATTTAACTTCTATAGATGAAGACCTAATAGAAAATTTAACCCAAGATGAGACATCTGGGCTGGACCTTGGGTTTGAGGAGTGGGATGTAGCTGGCCTGCCTTGGTGGTTTTTAGGAAACTTGAGAAACAACTATACACCTAGAAGTAATGGCTCAACTGATTTGCAGACAAACCAGGTAATATTCATGGTTAAAGGGGAACTTTTTTTTTTCTTTTGAAAGAGTAACATTCTTGGTTACTCTTGACTATACAACTTTCTCTAAGAATTCTTATTCACTGCTATGACTATATATATGCGTATGATGCCTAGATGTATATCTTTAGTCCTGACCTCTCCCCTAAGTGCTCAACTTCTGTATCCAGATGTCTACTTAACACCTCCATTTAGAGAATCCGGCGTTTAACATGTTCAAAGCACAACTTTTTTTTAAACCAAACACTTCTTCCCCAGCCTTTCCTCTTTCATAAAGCTGGAATCTACCCAGTTATTCCGGCCAACTATCAAAGAGATATTGATTTCTTTCTCTGTCATAGAGTACATTCAAGTTATCAGCTCTTTATCCAAAACATATTTAAAATCTAACTAAGCCGGGTTCGGTGGCTCAGCCTGTAATCCTGCACCTTGGGAGGTGGAGGTGAGTAGATTGCCTGAGCCCACGGGTTTGAGACCCGCCTGGGCAACTTGGTGAGACCTCATTTCTACAATAAATCAAAAAAATTAGCTGGGTGTGGTAGCGCGCGCCTGTAGTTCCAGCTACTTGGAAGGCTGAGGCGGAAGGGTTGCCGGAGCCCAGCAGGTTGAGGTTGCGGTGGCCGGGAGCGGCCACTGCACTCCAGTCTGGGCGACAGAGTGAGACCCCAACTAAAAAAAAATAAAATAAAATGAAATAAAATCTAACTAACCATTTTTTGGCTACTTTCATTGTCATACTGTAATTCAAGCCATCATCATTTTTTCATACAAGAATTGTAGCAATTTCATCCCATCACTGGTCTACCTATTTCTAGTCTTGATCATTTAGTAGTTTAGTCTTTTCAAAGAATAAAACTTTAAAAAATGGATACACCATAATGTAGCCCCAGTGGCTTCAGAAAACAAATAGAATAAAATCTACCATAACGATAACTGATTCAGTCCCCTCCTTTCTCATCTTCTGTCATTCTTCCTTGTTGACTATGTGCATTTCAGACACACCAGGCTTTCTGACACTGTAGCACAAAATTCCTTTCTTCCTCAGTCACTTTACTCTTTCTGGAACACTCTTTTTCTAAATCCTTTCAGTTTTCTTCTCATGATTTAGGACTCAGCTCAAATGTAATTTCCTCAGAGGTCCCCTAAGCCACCAAGGCTATCATTTACACAGGTCCAGTGGGATCCACTTTTTGTTTTGCACCTGTGTATTTATAAGTGGTGGCCCTGCAAAATCCACTCCTAGTTAAAATAGCCTCCTCATCAGTTGAACTGCTCTTCTATCTTATTTTATGTTCTCCATTGCACTTCTCACTTTTAAAAACTATTTTTAGGCCGGGCTCGGTGGCTCAGCCTATAATCCCAGCACTTTGGGAGGCTGAGGCGAGTAGACTCTCTGAGTCTGCAGGTTTGAGACCCACCTGGGCAACTTGGCGAGACCTCGTCTCTACAATAAATCAAAAACTTAGCCAGGTGTGGTAGCATGTGCCTGTAGTTCTGGCTACTTGGAAGGCTGAGGTGGAAGGATCGCCGGAGCCCAGCAGGTTGAGGCTGTGGTGGCTAGGAATGTGCCACTGCACTCCAGTCTGGTGACATAGTGAGACTCCGACTCAAAATAAATAAAAAAATATAATAAAACTATTTTTATATTTTGTTTATGTGTTGTCTGTTTACCCTCGTTGAAATATTAGGCCAAAACTTTTGTGTTATTCACCAATCTATTCCATTGCCTAGTGTCTAGAACAGGTATGAGGCACATAATAGGCATTCAGTGAGTATTTGTCGAATACATAAATGGCTACTATAAAATGGCAAAATAATAAATTGTCTCTTACAAATGTTATAGAAGAGCATGTCGTAAAAATGTTCGTAGATGAATGCAGAAAAAGTTCTGTATACTTAAAGTTACATATTTAAAGGTGTTCAGGAATTCAGAAAGTGTTAAGGCAAAAGGTTTGGGTTACTGTCAGTGTTTCTCATATTTCTTCACTAAACATCACTGACTGTTTTATTTTATGTTTTATTTTTATTTATTTATTTTTTTGAGTTGGAGTCTCACTCTGTTTCCCAGTCTGGAGTGCAGTGGCATGCTCACAGCCACCACAGCCTCGACTTGCTGGGCTCAGGTGATTCTTCCTCCTCAGCCTTCCAAATAGCTGCATCATTGACTCGTTTCTTTTCTTTTTTTTTTTTTTTTTGAGTTAGAGTCTCACTCTGTCACCTAGACTGGAGTGCAGTGGCATGCTCCCGGCTGGGCTCTGGGAATCCTTCTGTCTCAGCTTTCCAAGGAGCTGGAACTACAGGCATGTGCTACCATGCCCGGCTATCATTGACTATTTTATAGAAAAGAATATGTCGGGATGAACAGACTGTTTTCTGGCTTCTGAGAGTATCACCTGAAGAAAGAAATTTAGGGAATGGATTCTGTTTACTTGAGCAGCTTTGAGTCCTTACCTTTTAACCTCTTCTGTACTGCTTCTCAGGTGCTAGACCTGATTTAGTGTTAAAATAGAAAATTTCTTGCCAGGCATCATCATATCCATCTATTTGTTTATCTATAGTAGGTGCCAGGTCTATATGCGTTGAGTGAATACATTTATACTGAAAAAAGGCAAGATGTTCTGTGGAGATATGTGAAGACATTGAGTTTGGGCTCTTTTGTGTTGGTTCAATATCTCTGTTAAGCCGCTGACTATAGAAACTCATCTTTGTTTTTTTTCTATTAGGATGTGGGTACTGCCATTGTTTCAGACACTACAGATGACTTGTGGTTTTTGAATGAGTCAGTATCAGATCAGTTAGGTGTTGGAATAAAAGTTGAAACTGCTGATACAGAACAAATAAGCGAAGAAGTAGGGAAAGTGAGTGACAAAAAGGTATGTTGAAAAATTTCGTGTTGATTGCATTTATGTGCTTAGATAAAATCTATTCAGATCTCTTTTTATCTCTTTGTACAACAAATTACTCGTGTAATGCCCCCTTTAATTTCTTAGTATTTTTCAATATCCAATTTTAAGATTCACATTGTTAACCAAACCTACTTTAAAAATAAGAGCGTTTCTTGGTGAAATTCCACCTTCATTAGAAGCCATAAACTGAGCCGGGCTCGGTGGCTCAGCCTGTAATCCCGTGCCTTTGAGAGGCTGAGGTGAGTGGATTGCCTGAGCCCGCAGGTTCGAGACCCGCCTGGGCAATTTGGTGAGACCTCATCTCTACAATAAATCAAAAAATCAGCCGGGCGTGGTAGTGCGCGCCTGTAATTCCGGCTACTAGGAAGGCTGAGGTGGAAGGATCGCCGGAGCCCAGCAGGTTGAGGCTCGGCCACTGCACTCCAGTCTGGGCGACAGAGTGAGACTCCAACTCAAAAAAAAAAAAAAAAAAAAAAAAAGCCATAAACTGGCCGGGCTCAGTGGCTCAGCCTGTAATCCCAGCACGTTGGGAGGCTGAGGCGAGTGGATTGCTTGAGCCCGCGGGTTCGAGACCAGCCTGGGCAACTTGGCAAGACCTTGTCTCTTGAACAAAATAAAAAAAAAAGCTGGGCGTGGTAGCACACGTGTGTAGTTCTAGCTACTCTGAAGGCTGAGGCAGGAGGATCTCCAGAGCCCAGCAGGCCGACGCTGGAGTGGCCGTGCGCATGCGTGCAAGTGCACTCCAGTCTGGGCGAAGGAGTGAGACTCCAACTCAAAAAGAAAAGAAAAGAAAAACCATAAGCTACCTTTTTTTTGTTTATTTAGTCTTTCATTGTGAATTTTTTTCTTCTAGAAACCTTATCTTGCCATCAAGGCAAGGTTCTAAATTGTCTCAGCAGTCTGTAGCAGAAATTTTTTTGTTTTGTTTTTTTTGAGTCAGTCTCAGTCTGGAGTGCAATGGCGTGATCACGGCTCACTGTAGCCTCTGCCTCCTGGGTTCAGGCACTTCTTGCATCTCATCCTCCTGAGTAGCTGGGACTCTAGGCACATGTCACCACATCAAGTTAATTTTTAAATTTTTTTTTAAAGTAGGATTTATTGAGAGGACAGAAAAGCTCCCACAGTGGGAGGGGACCCGAGGGGGTTGCTTTTTTGTAGTGACAGGGTCTCACTATGTTGCCCTGGCTGGTCTCGAACTCCTCGGATCAAGCATTGCTCCTACCTGGACCTCCCAAAGTGCTAGGGTTATAGGCATGAACCATCACACCTGGCCATAATTTATTTCATTTACTGGACCACAAAGCTAGATTTTTAACTTAAAAATTTTTTAATCCTAAATTCTAAAATTTAGAAGACACTGCCCACATTTCTTTTTTGTTTCCATTTCTATGGGCATGTTTTTATAGAACAGCCATAGTATTACATAACTAGTTTTACTCGAATGTGAAAAGTAAAATTTTAAAATACTTTGTTTTCATTCTTCATGTCTTCTTAGGTAAAAATTTCCATATTTAGCAATTTGGAACTTTTCTACTCTAATACTACTTATTTTCTTTAACGTCATAAATACAGATATCTTCTCTCTTCTGAATGCAGAAGATATTTGGTAATTCTTCTGGGTGCTTTTCAGTTATTTGTGTTACTGAAATGTTGGCTAGGCGTGTACAGAAAATGTTTTTGGTCTTGCATTTAAGCTGTCCCCTGGAGTACTAGTGATGGAGATAGAATGTGAGTTTTAAATTGAAGCTGTTGTCTTTTTTGCTTTTAGGTAATAGCCTCATCTAAAACAGGTAAACCTTACTAAGTAGGCTTTTTTTTTGTACTTTCACAGATGATTGAAATGGGAAAAAATGATGACCTTGAGGACTCCAAGTCCTTAAGTGATGATACTGATATAGAAGTTACCTCTGAGGTATGACTCTCTAGTAAAAGCTGTTTTTCCACCTGCCATATATTCAGATGATGTAATTCCAGCAGTTTACTTGTGTTGAAGAGTACCATTTCCCCATTTCTATTTACCTCTTTTAGTTGCTAAGAAATACTGGTTTCTTTACATCTTGTTAGAGAGTTTTATTGGCACTAAGGAGGGAAGAGGATAATTTAATCCTCTTCCCATCTTGAAAAAAGATGACTTAAATGCCTCTGTTTGCCTTTCTCTCTGGTATCAAAACTTTGGATATCATGCAGTAAAGACAGAATTATCCAAAATAATCCTGCACTGGTTTCCCTCACTAAACACCTTTTTGTTATCCCAAAGACATACCTGTAGACTATCTAAAATTCTTTGTTGAGTATAAAAATAATAATTGTCAGCGCTTTCTTTTTTTTTTTTGAGTTGGGGTCTCACTCTGTCACCCAGACTGGAGTGCAGGCCACCGCAGCCTCGTCTGCTGGGCTCCGGCGATCCTTCTGCCTCAGCCTTCCAAGTATCTGGAACTACAGGCACTTGCTACCACGCCCGGCTAATTTTTTGATTTATTGTAGAGATGAGGTCTCGCCAAGTTGCCACGGGTCTCTAGCCCGCGACTCAGGCAATCCGCTCACCTCGGCCTCCCAAAGTGCTGGGATTACAGGCTGAGCCACCGAGCCCAGCCATCAGTGCTTTCTTAAATATAAGCAAATGAAAAACAGCTTAATTTCCACACAACTTAATATTAGTGGAGCACTATTAAAGATTTACTTTTCAGCTCTTAGGTAGTAGGTGTGGACTTGCCACCAATTGACAACTGAGATCTAGACCCAAATGTTTACCTTTTCTTTTTTTTTTTTTTTTTTTTTGGCTGTTTCCCCATTTTTCTTTTAGTTCTTCCCACGACTAACACAGTATGGCAGGAAGGGTAGTGGGGGAAAGATAAGAAAAGGATTTTACATTTTGCTACTTGAGGAGAGAAACTATTATTATTATCAATTATTATTTCAGTCTGGGTTCCAACTGTTGTCTGTGCAGTGGCACAATCATGGCTCACCACAGTCTCAGCCTCCTGGGCTCAGGCAATCCTTCCTTCCACCTCAGCCTTTAGTAGCTGGAACTATAGGTGTGCATCACCATGCCTGACTAACTTTTTAATTTTTTTAGAGATAAGGTTTTGGTATGTTGCCTAGGCTGGTCTCGAACTCCTGGATTCCAGCAGTCTTCCTGCCTTAGCCTCCCCAGAGTGCTGGAATTACAGGTGTGAGCTACTGTATCCAGCCAGAGAAACATTTTTAGATTGTCTCTGGTGTTGATCCTTCCTTCACTCTCAGCACAGCACTGTTGGCCATTATGGCAATTTATTGCAAATTACCTGTCTCTGCATAGCTTACTAATAAAGTAATATGGCCGGGCTCGGTGGCTCAGCCTGTAATCCCAGCACTTTGGGAGACCGAGGTGAGTGGATTGCCTGAACCCGCAGGTTCAAGACCCGCCTGAGCAATTTGACGAGACCTCATCTCTACAATAAATAAAAAATTAGCCGAGTGTGGTAGCGTGCACCTGTAGTTCCAGCTACTTGGAAGGTGGAGGCGGAAGGATTGCCAGAGCCCAGTAGGTCGAGGCTGCGGTGGCTGGGAGCGGCCACTGCACTCCAGTCTAGGTGACAGAGTGAGACTACAACTCAAAAAAATAAAAAATAAAGTAATACATACTAGTCCCATAAGTGTTTTTGACCTCACTACAAATAACAGAGATAATTGTTTTCATCTTTTTTTTTTTTTTTGAGTTGGAGTCTCACTCTGTCGCCCAGACTGGAGTGCAGTGGCTGCTCTCAGCCACCACAGCCTCGACCTTTTGGGCTCCAGCGAGCCTTCCACCTCAGCTTTCCAAGTAACTGGAACTACAGACATGCGCTACCACGCCTGGCTAATTTTTTGTTTTATTATAGAGATGAGGTCTCAACCAAGTTGCCCAGGCGGGTCTTGAACCCGCAGACTCAGGCAGTCCCTTCACCTCAGCCTCCCAGAAGTGCGGGATTACAGGCTGAGCCGCCGAGCCCGGCTGTGTTTTCATCTTAATCAGACTTCTGTGGCTACTTCAACTCAGAAAACCTATTAAGCAAATAGACTGTATTTCATCAAATCAAAGATGTCATTGAATTTAATAAGCCCTAATATTTTGTGTACTACTTAGGAAAAAGTAATGTTTAATTCAAAACTGGCATATTATCAGTTATGAATTCCAATCCCTTTGATGATTTGTATAGCATTATAGATGAGTTTGGAAGATCGTTTTTTTTTTTTAAGTTGGAGTCTCATTCTGTCACCCAGACTGGAGTGCCATGGCTCGCTTCCAGCCACTGAAGCCTCGACCTGCTGGGCTTCAGCGATCCTTCCGCCTCAGCCTTCCAAGTAGCTGGAACTACAGGCGCGCGCTACCACGCCTGGCTAATTTTTTATTTGCTGTAGAGATGAGGTCTCGCCTACTGTAGAGGTGAACCTGCGGGCTCAGGCAATCCACTCACCTCAGCCTCCCAAAGCACTGGGATTACAGGCTGAGCTACCAAGCCTGGCTGAGGTTGGAAGATCTTAAACTGAGAAGTGGTTTGATGCTCCCTAGAGAACATCCCAGTTTAACAAATGGTTGTGTCCCTGCCTCTCAGTCTAGACAGTTGAGTTAGAACTCCTAAACTTGATGTGCTTGGCCTTCGTCCTGAAGGTAATCAAGTTCAGCCTGTGTCAAATCATTGATTCTGTCAAAGCCAGGCAGTTATCCACATTAAATATTCTTGACTTGTTTCAGTTAGCTGCAGTTGAATTAAGCAAAACATATACATTTCATTGAAATGTAGTGTCTCCTAATTTGAATATGGAAAAGTAGAAAAAATTTACTTGGCATTCAGGAATAAGCACTATCATTTTTCAGAGGGTGTGATTTAGGCATACAGTTATACTTATTTTCCTGAGTGCAGTGAAGGAGCATGAGGAAATGTAGTAGTTTTCAAATCTCTTTTTTTTTTTTTTGAGTTGGAGTCTCACTCTGTCCCTCAGGCTGGAGTTCAGTGTCACGCTCATGGCCACCACAGCCTTGACCTGCTGGGCTTAGGCTATCCTTTTGCCTCAGCCTTCCAAGTAGCTGGAACTACAGGCACGCACCACCATGCCTGGCTTAATTTACTGATTTATTGTAGAGACAAAGTCTCACCAATTTGCCCAGGCTGGGGTCTTGAACCTGTAAGCTTGGGTGTTCCTCTCACTTTGGCCTCCCAAAGTGTTGGGATTATAGATGTAAACCACCACGCCCGGCCTCAAATCTCATTTTTTAAACTTCCTTTTTACCAAGTTTTATAACATTTCTTCATTAGTAGGAAAGAATAACAGAGTATCAGCTCTTTATTTTTTAGCCTGCTGCCCGATAAAGGGTAAAGGGGTAAGTTGTGCAAAGAAAAGTAACCCAAAAGAATACAGTGGGGTAAAGCATACAATGTTAATTTCATTCAGATTAAATTGAAAGCCAAATAATTTAACTTTCTTAAGGATAGTTATCTCAGATTTTGGCCTGAAAATGGCACTTGTGGTACTATCAATATAAAACTCCCAAAGATTTTCTGTCACTTGACTGTAGGATTTGTTCAAATCCTAGGCTAGATCACTGGTGTGGAATGCCTGGACTGTCACTGACTTTGTAAGACCATGCGAATTCGGCCTACCCTCCCTTTTTCTTGGCATTATGTTCACCTCCAATTATTCATTGGCTGCCCTTGTCTTTGTAGGATGAGTGGCAGTGTACTGAATGTAAGAAATTTAACTCTCCAAGCAAGAGATACTGTTTTCGTTGCTGGGCCTTGAGGAAGGATTGGTATTCAGATTGTTCTAAGTTAACTCATTCTCTCTCCACATCTGATATCACTGCCTTACCTGAAAAGACGGAAAATGAAGGAATTGATGTCCCTGATTGCCGAAGAACTGTTTCGGCTCCTGTTGTTAGACCTAAAGATGTATATACAAGGGAAGAAAACTCTAAACTTTTTAATCCTTGCAACTCGGTGGAATTCTTGGATTTGGCTCACAATTCTGAAAGCCAGGAGACTATCTCAAGCATGGGAGAACAGTCATATAACCTTTTTGAACAGAGAACAGATACAGAAAACATGGAAGATTGCCAGAATCTTTTGAAGCCATGTAGCTTATGTGAAAAAAGACCACGAGATGGGAACATTATTCATGGGAGGACAGGTCATCTTGTCACTTGTTTTCACTGTGCCAGAAGACTAAAGAAGGCTGGGGCTTCATGCCCTATTTGCAAGAAAGAAATTCAGTTGGTTATTAAGGTTTTTATAGCCTAATTAAATCAATGAATTGCAGAGAAATATTAAGAGGGCCAGGTCAGGTATCAAGACGTCAGTATTGAGTATCTCTACCCATTACATCTGTTCATTTATTCATGTAAATTCATTTATTCATGTTCCAGGGCATTTTTGCTTCTAAACTTATATGGAATTTGAGAGTGAGTTCTTTAGAAGATGATCATTCGGGGACTTAACATGGAAAATTGCCTAAGTCACTTCATTCTCCCTCCAAAGATATCTGGGAGGGGAGACAACCACCAGTACAAACATCAAGATGCATCTATTCAGTTAACTTACAAGGTTATTTGAAGATTAATCCTTTCTTTAGTTAATTTTATTTTCTACCCTTCAGCTAGGGAATGTTACTAGGTGTCAGAATTCAAGCTAGCCATAGAAAAATATTAGAGCTAACAGTGGAAAAAATATATATAAATAATCTGATGAGTTAAATTAGGAAGTGCAGTGGATTACTTTGTCACTGTCAGGCTGCATGGTTCAATGAAACCAAAAGAAAAAGTCATGAAAAACAAGAGATTTCTTCCATACGTATTTTTAAAACTGAGGTATGATTAATATAACGTGTTGCCTTTCAATGAGTTGTATAAAGCTGAGCAAGCACCCCAAAAAAGCAATAGAATTTTTCTGTCACTGCAAATGTTCCCTTGTGCCCCTTGAAAGGCAGTCCTTCAACTATCATGGCTCTAACCCTAGATTAGTTTTCCTCTTGTACATCTTTAATTTGACATCTAAATTTTTAAAATTTTAGTACTTACAAAGAGTATACTATCAAACATATTGTATATTATATATGTGCTTTAAAGATATTTTTATCAAAGCCTTGGAGCTTAGATTTAACTGATTAAATTTATAGAAAATTCTGTCATATAAACTGGCAAAGCTTGTACTTGTTTTAAAATTAGTCATCCAAGTCAGACTTAACTTTCAGTCTGAAAATGTCTTCATTTCATTTCAGATAAATGCATTAACATGTCTTTGGCACAACCTTCTCAGTTATCAATTCTAAAATTAATAGAGAAGGTGTGGAGTTTTTTTAGCCAAACTCTTTGCTTTGCTCTTTCACTCCTCATGGTCTGATAGGAGTCATCCAGGTTTTTTGGTTCCTTGTTTGATACTCTACAGTTGTTTACATCCTGAAGCAGTGCCCCTTAGTAAGATACTGGATAGTTGAGATGCAGCCTATTTTTGAGAATAGGGAGTATGGCTGTTATGAGAAGGGGAGTGGTTAAAGAGAAATGGTAGATCTGAAGAGACCTCATCAGGGAACATATTTTAGGACAATACGTATGAAAATTGAAGATCTGAAAGTTGATTTCCTTATACTTGTGCATATTTGCTTACCCCTTGGGAAAATCTTGGTGTATCCTCAGGGTATGAATATGTCATTTTGAAGACCAAGTTAGAATTGTCAAACTTCAGGATCATAAAAATCACCTGGGTTGCTTGTTAAAAATACCCAACACCCCCCCCCCCCCCCCAGACTGATCCCTAAGGTCTGGGCCAAGGATTTGTATTTCAACAAGTGTTCCTAGAAGCTCTGATGTAAGTTTTCTTCAGACCATACTTTCAGAAGCCCTGACTTAGAAGGAGGGGCTTTTCCTTCCTGTTTTTCTGGTACCAAGCAGAAAATAGATTAAACAAGATTCCTTTATTATCACATTTCATTTCAAGAAGAGAAAATTACAGAGTTTTAAACCTATAGTGCACTCATGTACTCAACCCCTCTTGTTTTGCATGTGAGGCTAAATAACATAGCTAGTGGTAGTTGTTAACAGAGTCCAAGTCTCTTGACTAGTAAATCTTTAAACAATACTTGTTTCCTTCTCATGATTTGTTAGATATTTAAAATGTGGTGCTTGCTGAATTTGGACAACTTAAAATGTAGATTTCTAATAAATGGTTTTAGAAAATATGATTTGTAGCCAAAACATTTGTAGTCACTTAAGAGAGAACAGTGACTTACAACACTTTTTCCCAAAAGTGAAAGACTCTGAAAATATCAGATGAAATTTCTTATTAGTCAGAAAACTACTTCCACTGCGGGGACAAGTAAAAATGACAGAAAGACCTGCCTATTTTCTCCAGTATTGCTCTTTCCTAGGGAGTGAAGCTCACGTTTCTGTCTCGCTCTAGGCATTAGAGACCAGAGTTTTCCCCCATTAAGCCGAACTAATTATTTGAGTTAAATGTTTTTTTATTAGACCATAGTGAATGCTCTGACACTTTAGAAAGTTAATTTTCTCCCTATTCCTCCTCCCTAGTATAATAGTTTGATAGTTCTCAAATTTTATTTTTGCCAGCCAGGTGCTTTTGCAAGTGATAAACTAGAGAAAGAATTGGGGACCTGTACTTATACTCTAATTCCCCTATGTAAAGTTGCAGGTTTTTATAAAACTTAAATAAGAGGAACTAAACATTTTACTTAATGTTTGTAGATGCTTGACGCTAAATTTGGCAAATCCTTGCCCAACACAGAATCCTCTCTAATACTACTCTGCTTTTCCTGTTTGCTTTCCTTGGATTTTCCAATGCTCCTTTAGCACTAAGAACTTCCCTTAGAAGATTCTAAGCTACATGTTTGAGCCAAACTTCTTTGCCTGCAGGAAACTTTAAACTTCTTCTTGATCTGCTTTTGATTTTGTTCTTTGTTCCTTACCACTGTGGTACAGATTTTTTTTTTTTACTCACTGCCACAAAAGCAGTGAAGTATTCAGAGTTTACTACTATAAGGAACCACTTGACTTCCAAATATTACCATTCATCTTTTAGGTGGAGTTATGAGGCCCGTATACTCTGGTCTTCTGGAGACTGCTGGTTTGCTTCTATTCAGCATCCCTCCTGGTTTGTTTTCGTCTTTCCCTTTCTACTTCCAAATGTCTTCACTGAGTTGAAAAAAGTTTTATTTTTTTAGTTGGGGGTCCTACTTTGTCACCCAGGCTCTGGAGTACAGTGACGCGATCATGGTTACTGCAGCCTTGATCTTTTGGGCTCGAGCAATGCCTTTGCCTTCGTCTCCCAAGTAGCTGGGACAACAAGTGCATGCTACCACACCTGGCTAATTTTAAAAAAATTTTTGTAGAGACGAGGTTTCACTTTGTTACACCACACCTGGTTAATTTTTAAAAATTTTTTGTAGAGACGAGGTTTCACTTTGTTCACTCCTGGGCTCAAGCAGTCCTCACACTTCAGGCTCCCAAAGTGCTGGGATTACAGATGTGAGCCTCCACACCCTGCCTTTAAGTTGAAATATTGATTGTGAGGAAGGGTCTGTTAAACTGGCTATCAGTGGAAATCATTATTTCTGCTGCATCACGCCATAGACTTGTGAATAATGATATCATACCACACTGCCATCAGGTTTTAAAATTTTAGTTGTCATTTAAATTAATATGTATTGTCATTTTATCTTGGACAAAAAGTTTAGAGCAGAGGTAACAAATCATGAGAAAAACAATGAATTTCACTGTTAAAGGTAAAAAGATCTTCTGTCTCTTAGTATTAACTCACTTTCCTTGCAGTGTTCTTAACAGTAATTGGTGACTGGCTTTTATGTTTAATATTTAAATCAGACTTTAAATACATCTTAGACCAAAACTTAAAAAAACAGTATGCCGCAGGCTGATGCCTATAATCCTAGCACATTGGGAGGCGGAGGTGAGAGAATTGCCTGAGCCCACGGGTTCAAGACCAGCCTGGGCAACATGGCAAGAACCTCATCTCTACAATAAATAAAAAAGTTAGTTGGGTGTGATGGTGCACACCTGTAGTTCCAGCTACTTGGAAAGCTGAAGTGGAAGAATTGCCTGAGCCCAGCAGGTCGAGGCTGCAGTGGCTATGAGTGTGCCACTGCACTCCAGGCTGGGTGATAAGAGTTAGACTTCAACTCAAAAAAAAAAAAAATTGGTGCTGTTTCCCCACAGTTCATGTATGAAATACCTTAGGTTTCTTATCCTATGCTTGAACAATGGATCGGAGTCCAGCCGGGCCAGCTTTCAAACTGCCACAAACTTGTGCAACATGAGATTGAGTCACTGCCAAGCATTTAAAGTATGTGTTTGTGTTTTAATTATAATTTATGTATAGTTAGATGTATGTAATGCTTTGTTTGGTATTTTTTGGTTTGTAAGAATTATTTTTAATGGTCAAGATTCTTTGTAACTTTTTTTTCCTGTATGTGTCAATCCATTGCAATCTTGGCTCCCTCAAAAAGATACTGAGAGAAACTGGTGAATGTTAGTTCTTGCGTTTTACAAAGCTGTTGTAATATTACCTCTTGATTTGCTTTAGAAAGGAAGAAACTTGTTAACCAGCTGTTTGGGGGTTTTTCCCATAGAATTATTGTGAACTTCTGAAAGTACCTGGGTGTAGAATACTGTGAATCTGTTTTCCATTTAGTCAGTTATCTGCTTAAATTGTTCAGATCCATATCCTAAGGAATTCCTTTTGATGGCTCTCCCCTTCATGAATGTGCATGCACGTGCACACGTATCAAGACTGATGCTGCCTTTGCTAAAAATGGCTGTAGATTAGAGGCTGCTGTGTTTAGAATCTGCACTTCTAAGGTAAGGGAATTGCAAGCTCTCCCTTGTGCCAAAAGTAAAATGTACAATGTTTACAAATGTCTGGAATTTTGCACTGCCATCGGGAATGTTGAGTTTACTTTGTTGGTTTCTCAGATTTGTAAGTGGACAAGTTGCAGTTTAGCATATGAGAGGAAATATTGAGGACCCTAGGGCTAATCTGGAGAATTTGAGATAGTGGTTAAAGTGGCTCACAGGCTTGATTTGGGGTCAGTTTTTCCTGATTGCTTTGAGATGTCTTTTCTGTTGACAGAACTTTTTCCTTTTTTGTCTGTTGTTACGATAGTCTTCCTTTTTAGGGGCCACCAGATCTCTTCTCTCCTATGAGAGAATGTCCTGTTAGCATTTTGAGATCTTTTGATGTAATTAATGTGCAATCCCAAATAGTGCCATTATTGGTGAATGTGGCATTGTTAAGGAATTATTACAGTACTATTACACTTGAATTTACCGCACCTCTACCGATAGCCTTTTATTATTTTTTTTTACTTTTTACTTTTATTTTAAAGATGTGGGTTACAGTTCAGGGTTAGGTATACAAATGTTCTTATGCAGGTACCCTTGTTGAGGTGTGTCCCTCCCTCCCCTGGCAGTTTCCCAATACTGCCAATCCCTTTCTTTACCAATCGCCTTTTAAATGACTAAAAGTATTACAGAGAAAAGCACGTCTGCAGAAAGAGGTAGTTAATATTTCTTGGTACCTTATCTGAAATTCAAGATACTGCTTCCCCTGCAGGTTGTTTTCCTTCATGTAGAATTTTCATTTAATGCCTGCTGGGAGCCTAGCACAGCTAGAAGAACTCACTATTTAAGGTGGAGAAAGTCAAGGATACCTAAAAAGGGCCAAATAATGCTAGAAGAACAATTTATCTTTCAGAGCAGTTGCTGTAATTTGGCAAATACTTTATTAAAAATGAACATTAATCATTATAACACTGAGAGTTTATCAGAACCTCTAATTTTTTGAGACATTAAAAAAAAAAAACAGCTGGGCTCGGTGGCTCAGCCTGTAATCCCGCACCTTTGGGAGGCTGAGGTGAGTGGATTGCCTGAGCCCGCGGGTTCGAGACCCGCCTGGACAGTGAGACTTCATCTCTACAATAAATCAAAAAATCAGCTGGGCGTGGTAGCACATGCTTGTAATTCCGGCTACTTGGAAGGCTGAGGCGGAAGGATCACAAAGCCCAGCAAGTCAAGGCTGTGGTGGCTGGGAGCGGCCACTGCACTCCAGTCTGGGCGACAGAGTGAGACTCCAACTCAAAAAAAAACAAAAACACAGTTCTTTTATGTCAAACAGACATTTCCCCTTCCTCTCTTCTTTGCTGTTGCTCTTCTGTCCTCTTAGTTCAAAGTTATTATCTATTTTTGGATATTGCTTTTATACCAAAAGCCTTCTATATCACCTCACCACCCCTTGGATGGTTGTAACTATGGTGTCTTCAGATAAGATTCCTCTTTCCAGTCAGTCCTGGGGAATGTTTGTGTTGCTGATTTGGGTGGTGGATTCTAACAGGATGGGAAGATATGATGGCAGATACTCTCTGATATAACAACTTACAGTTGAGGTTTCTTTTGTGTGTGTCATGGGGCACAGGGGAGTTTGCTCACTGTTGTCTCAACACTAAGAAATTGAGTTCAGCCTTTCCTCTTCCTACAGGAGAATTTTTTTTTCCTCTGTAGTATTCCTCACCTTTTCCACTCACCTCAGCCTCCCAAAGGTACGGGATTACAGGCTGAGCCACCAAGCCCAGCTAACTGTTTTTTGTTAAATGTCTCCCTCACCCCTCCACCCCCCTTTTCCCTTTTAAAACCAACAGAAGATGTTGTAAAGGGAGAATTAAATGTTTCTGGGCTTCTTCAGCACTTGCCATGGTAGAAGTCATAAGCGACCTCTGACCTCTTTAGCTATGCACCATTAAGTGCCTCTTGGATAGAGGTAGAGTAAGTCTTGACCTCCGTAATGCTTACTTTTTCTCTTAGTGCCAGTCTTGACCTTCTTAATACTCAGTTTTTCTCATCTGTAAAATGAGTATACATATCTACCCTTTCTACCTCATGGTTTTTTGTGGGGAATAAGTATGGGGGACCAACCTAAAAACCTGTCATTGCCTTGAAGAGATATGAGAACCTGTTATGCTATTGGTAGATCAAGCTCTGGGGTATGTATATATTCAGTGTACCTCGTGTCCTGGAAACTGAGCACAAGCTCTCCTTTATGCCTGCCTAGCAGAGCCTATTCTGTTTACTACAGACCCTTTTACCTATACTTTTAGCTCAGATATTCTTACCTTGATATGAGGCTCTTGACGAGAAGAGTTCTTTAGGTGTTCTGAGAGAAGTGTGCAAACTTGGATAGATTCTATCCAGACATAACTGCCTTGCTGTGATCTTGATGTTCAAAAATTCTCTTTCTACATACACTTGAGTAGGTGGCATAAAATGCCCTGCCAGTATACAGAAAACATGCAGTTTTAAAAATACTTCTGATGAGGTAGTCACAACGACAGAGTACAAATGTGGTTTCATAAGGTGGGAAGAAAAAGTCGATTTAAAATAACTTTTTGAACAGTGGCCAGCTCACTCACTACATGAGGAATGAGGGAGGCATTTTCGTGCATTCTTGCCTGGTTTTCTTTATAAGCACCACTAAGTCAATAGCTCTGTATCTTTTTGGTGTTTGCACTATGTAACGCTTTTAATACTTTTTCATTTTATTGTGCTTTTTTGTGTATTAAATATTTTTCATTTTACCATCATGTGTTGTCATTATTTGAGAAGTAATGTCGTTTTGTGTGTGTACCGCTAAATCTTGTTTTCTCTTATATTCTATATTTGGTCTGATTTGGGAAAGTTATTGAACTTAAAATCAACAACTTTGGATATTTCCCCTTAGTTGCCTTGCCTTTCAGAGTAATTGCTTTATTTCATTTTCAGGGTTCCGTCCTGAAGGAAACTCTCACATTTTGCGGAGTATTTGCATATATGTCCGGCTTTTGTTTTTGACTAGTGCAAGAGGTACTGAGAGTCTTTTACAATATACATGAATCAGGTGTATGCCCAGGAAAGATTTGCTAGGGTCTCCAGCTGTGATTTTTAAACTTTTGGGGATTACAGCTGTCCTTGAGAAGTTAATGAACCGAAACTTCTTGTAAGTAGCACAGCGTTTTAAGTTCAGTTGGAGGACTTCATTTAAGCCACTAGTCCACCGTCTTAGGGTTCTGTTCTTTGGAGGGATATCTAAGAAGAATGAATGGCCCACGAAGGGCTTGGTAGCACGTGTGCTCTTCAAAAGGTCATCCACTTACAGCTAAACCATTAAGGGGAGTGAAAACATCTGGTCAGTTGTCCTGAGTTGAGGATGGGGGTGGGTCACTGTATAGTTGGTGCAGGTTGGTGTGCACCGCACAACTTTTTGGAGCACGGTGCACAGGCTGCCATGTGCATGATATCCCCTAGAGATGTGTAGTGTGTAGCTTAGGAGACTCTGGGATTGGATGGGGTGATACTGGAAATACTGGGGGTAACATTTAAAAAATGAAAGCAAAGCCAGAGGAGCATTAGAAACAAGAATGAGATCAGCTTTGTCTGCCCAACCCTTTCCATCCCACATTTTGTCTGTGACCTCTTTAAAGTACTTTTTGATGTGATTTCAACTGCCAGTGTCGTCTCCTGGAGTTTTGTATCCTGCTCACCTTAAGTTCCTAGTGCTGCAGACTTAACCACCTTTGTTGAATGTTGAGGGTGGAAGAAGAAGGCAAGCGGAAACTAGTTCCTGGGCCTGCAAACTATTTTAGACAAATTCCAAGCCAGCACTTTTTTTTTTTAGGTTTTGGTGGGGTTTTTTTGTTGCTGGAATTGCACAAATTCAACCTATAGAAGTAAAAAGAGTTACAGCTATTAGAAAATGTTTAAGTCATTACCAATTTTGAGGATACAGGGACAATCTTGCTACATACATCCACAACCCTGAACTCGATTTATCTTCTTCAAAATAAAGGATAAGAGTCAAACTCATCCAATAAATACATGATAAATGTTAATGTGGGCCAGGGACTGCTTGGTCCTGGGAAAACAACAGTGAATGAGGAAACTGTTTTCAGGTTGCCTACAGTCTTTTAATAGTGGAGTTAGGTACATAAGACAGTTTCCACATGAGCCAAGGAAGCAGCAACTGGAAGAACAAAAGGTAAGAGAATGGCTTTTGTGGGGAATGCTGAGTATTTCATGTGTCTGGAGCAAATGATGTGAGAACTGATGAGCTGGGGTTGGAGTAAGGGGGCCGATGGTGTGATGTGCAAGCTAGCAAGTTTGCATCTTAGCCTGAGGGCAGTGGAGAGCCATGGAAGGGTCTTAAGTGGGAAAGTGATATCTGATTTGCATCTTTGTAAGATCATTCTGGCTATACTGTTGAGAGTAGACTGGAGTGCTGTTTAGACCAGAAGCGGGGATAACAATGAGGCTGTGGTAGCAATCTGGGCTGGAAATGATGATGCTCCTGCCTACGGTAATGACGGTGGACTGGGAAAGAATAATAATAGATCACATGTACTGATCACTTAGTAGGCGCTGACTTGACATCTATTTACTCCACGAGGTATTTAAGGATTAGGGCATTAAGTAGCCTGTCCAAGGTAACTAAGAATTGCCGACAGTTGTTAAATCTAATATGAGACAAAAACCTAAAAGAAGTAAAAGGGTTTGAGAGAAATCAGAGTGGAATAAGTGACAGACTGTATGAATGATTGTGATGTAAGGGGAGGGGGTACTGAGGATGGCTTGAGCAGTTGTGGGCGATGGTGGTGACATTCATTGAAATGAAGAATATAGGTAGAAGAGTGGGTTTCTGATAGTGGTGGTGAGATGGGTAAATGGTGAGCGTTCAGTGTATTGACTCTGCATATGAGAGCATCCAAATGACAGTGGAGCCCAGAAAAGACCTGGGCTGTAAGTACTAAGTGTGCCTATCATGTATCTCCTATTTTCTAGGTCCTGATAATTCAGTGGTGAAGAAGACGGACGTGGTCCCTGCTCTTGTGGCTCAGGGAGGCTAGGTAAACACGTAACATTAGCATAGTGAATGTTCTATTGTGAGACTACATGCTGCTATGAGAAATACAGAAAGGGGGCCTATTCTAGTCAAGAGTTTCAGAACCTCCCTGAAGAAATGAGCTGAGATTTATTTTATTTTATTTTATTTGAGTTGGAGTCTCACTCTGTCACCCAGACAGGAGTCCAGTGGCCGCTCCCGGCCACCGCAGCCTTGACCTGCTGGGCTCCGGCGATCCTTCCGCCTCAGCCTTCCAAGTAGCTGGAACTACAGGCACACGCTACCACGCCTGGCTAATTTTTGATTTCTTGTAGAGATGAGGTCTCGCCAAGTTCCCCAGACGGATCTCGAACCTACGGGCTCAGGCAATACACTCACCTCAGCCTCCCAAGGTGCGGGATTACAGGCTGAGCCACCGAGCCCGGCTATGAGCTGAGATTTAAAGGAAGGCTAGGAGTTAGAGGAAGGGAAGAGTGCTGCCCTCAGGAGGAAGCGTGCCAAGTTCTTAAGCTGAGAAAACAGTGGCATCTGGGAAGAACTGAGAAGTGTAGCATAACTGAGAGCATGGACAGAGAGGGTTGGGAATAACAGAGTAGGTGGTTGGGTAAGGGTTTGGGCTGGGTGAGATGACGCATGCCTGTAGTTCCAGCTACTTGGAAGGCCGAGGCGGAAGGATTGCCTGAGCCTAGCAGGTCAAGACCGTGGTGACCATGGGTGTGCGACTACTGCACTCCAGCCTGAGCAACAGTGAGACTCCAACTCAAAAAAAAAAAGTTTGAAGAGAATGGAAAAGGTCTGAACCCGGTTCTCTGGATAATAGGAGAGAAAACAGACTAGGAAAGTTTCCAGAAGACAGTTGCCTGAGACTGCCCAATCTCTAGACCAGAAATTTCAACCTCAGCACTGTTGGCATTTTGGATTGGAAAATTCTGTGAGCCAGGCTTGGTGGCTCAACTGTAATCCACACCTTGGGAGGCTGAGGTGAGTGGATTGCCTGAGCCCGTGGGTTCGAGACCTGCCTGGGCAACTTGGCGAGACCTCATCTCTACAATAAATCAAAAAATCAGCCAGGCGTGATAGCGCATGCCTGTAATTCTGGCTACTTGGAAGGCTGAGGCGGAAGGATCGCCAGAGCCGCCCAGCAGGTGGAGGCTGCGGTGGCCGGGGGCGGCTACTTGCACTCCAGTCTGGGCAACAGAGTGAGACTCCAACTCAAAAAAAAAAAGAAAATTCTGTGTGGGGCAGGGGGTAGGGGAAGCTGTCCTGTGGATTGGAGGATGTTTTAGCGGCATCCTTGGTCTCTGCTCACTAAATGCCAGTAGCACTCCCCTAACGATGACAATAAAAAATGACCCCAGACATTGACAAATGTCAGTGAGAGACTGGCCTCTGGTTGAGAACCACTGGGCCCAGCCACCAAGTGCTACAGGACAGAAATCACGCAAGTTGAAGATTGGTGTTAGCTACACATTCATGGCCCTGACTGATCTCTCAATTCTATCTGGTTCTTACACAAAGTGATGATTCTAATCGAGAAGACAGTAAGATGAAGACAGGTTAACTGCTTTAAGAGCCCAAAGGCTCATGAGATAATAGACCGCAAGTTAGCACCTACTAAGTGTTCAGTAGATGTTATCTATCATCATTACTAGAGGGGTCTAGTAGTAGGAGAGGACTGAGAACTGAAAGGATAGGTCGCTGTGTTGAAGAGAGTCTAATAAGACCTCTGATGGATTGCGTTACTGTCAAGACACGGCCGTTTTTCCCCACCAGGCCTTGGAGATGGTTGCACTTCCTGCTCACTGGCAGCAGACTGGCCAGTGGGACGTGAGTGGAGAGGAAGTGTGCTGCTTCTGAGCAGAGACTTAGGGACCATTGCGTGGGGCAGCCAGTGCTCTTTTTCCTCTGCGAAAGGCTAGTGTAGGAACAGCCCAGAGTGGGGACTGCTCCTTCAGCCTGGCTGCAAGATCGAAGAGAGCAGGGAGTAGAGCAGCAGTTGTCCTGCAGTGGGCAGAGAAACCAGGCTTTGTTAATATAAGCCGCTGAGAACTGGGGCTCTGCTACCACAGGATGACTCAGGTATATGAGGGGGGACCCAGAAAAATCTGGAATTTATTTATGAAAGTTGTGTATTCTTACGTGTTTAAACTTCAGTCATCTTCAAAATACTTTCCATTGCTGCAATATACCTATCCACTGCCCAAAGTTTTTGAGCTTGTCAATTTTGATGACTTAGTTAGTGCCTCTGCCGTTTTTTGTTTCACCCCTTCCTCACTGGCAAAACATTACCCTTTGAGGACTTTTTCTTCCGGAAAAAGTTGCTTGGCAGGAGATGGGGTGAATAGAAAGGGTGGGGTATGGGGGTCATGCCGTTTTTGGTAAAAACTACTGAACCTCCAGTGTGGTGTGGGCAGGTGCATTCATAAATCACCCATCATGAAATGGGCAAACGCAATGAAAGAATCGAAAAAAAATTCACTGAAGCTGAAGGCATCCTCTCACAACAATGCTAGTGGGTACACTGATAGCAGTGGGTTCCTAGAACACTTAATCTAGTGGGGGAAGCCTGTACTACAAGGGGCCTGCCCTCCAAAAGATAATTCTGAAGTTTTTGGGGGTCCCCTCTTGTACAGTGCAGCATCCCAGTTGAGGGCAAGCCTCAGGACATAACAGAGTGAGTGGTTGGATGGTGGTATTCATTGACGTGAGGTGGTCAAGGTCCTGTGAAACTGGAGTGTTGGATGGCCATTCATATGATCTTACTGTCTACCCAGCATGCTGGCAGGATGGAGGAACCCAAAGTTTCATGAGTGAAGGTCAGCAGAGGACACCAGTAAAGGAAGCATAAAGGGAGGTGTAGATCTCAATCTCAAAACCCCCATATCCTATACCGAAGGTACCCGAGATGCTGGGAAATGACCATCAAGATCCTTCGGTGGGGAAGTCAGGTATTTTTTTAAGGCAAAGAAGTGGAGGAAGGGAGTTTGTGGACATAGGGAATTGTTTACTATGAGGTAGAATTATAGAGTAATAGTCCATAACTTTTTGTGGGTCAAGAGGTGATTGCTCTGAAACCTCTCTCCAGAAAGTTTTCCTATGCAAAATTTTATATACAAATCCAAGAATATTTTGGCCTCCCTAGAACCACCTGTGGACCTTAGGTTACAAACCCTATTCTAGAACAGTGGCTCTCAAGCTTTGGCAAGAATGAGATTCACCTGGAGGACTTTGACATCAAGTTGCTGGGCCTCAACTGAGGTCCCAATCAAGTAGGTCTGGGTGAGGCCCAAGCATCGGCATTTATATCAAGTTCCCAGGTGATGCTGGCCTTACTGGTCTAGGAACCACATTCTAAGAACCTCTGCTGAAGTCTAAGGCAAAGGAAAGGTTTGGGAGGGAGGGAAAAGGAGAGGAGCAGTGGGAAATGATTGGGGACAAGGTCATAGAAGCCTCATTGAGATGAGAATGGATTTTTGCTTTGTTTTACTGGACACAGTTAGTTACACAGATACTCCAATATTTCTGCCACACACAAGGGAAAGCTTTCGTGTGGAGAAAAGGGAAGGGGAGTGAGCACTCATTTCATGTTTCAGCACTTTTTCAGGGTAAGATGTGCAAAAGTATCTTTTAGTTAACCTGGTCACTTTCTGCAACACCCTTACTTTACAAAGACAGAAGAGGTATCAGGTATTACATGGTTGATGAACATGTTTGCTCAGGGTAACCTGATCTTGCTTCCTCTCAGTCTGGGACTTGTTCCTTTTCATTATTAACCTCTAAAAGAATTACTAGTGGAAACTAAGCCATGCATTCAAATCAAAGTAAAGAGACTTTAAATTCCCAATGCCCTAAATTAAGAAATTTTAATTCAAACTCTAGTAAATCATGGCTCAAAAACTGAGTAAAGCTGTGACCTTCTTAGGGGACACATTTTGGAGATAATTGCATCTGCTTTTCTTTTCGTGTGTGTGTATGTGTGTGCACGCGCGCGCGAACTTGAGAATGTGTATGTGCGTGTGTTTGAAAAAACTGACCTTTCGTATTCCAGGAATTCTTAGCACTGATTTAGGATTGCCAGTTAGCTGCCTGCTGGGTGACCTCAGACGGTCTCTAAGCCTCACTTCCTGATCAGCGAAACAGCCATGATGGACAAATGAGGTTCTGCATGTGAGGCACTTTATCATTGGGTATTCCCTCCTCTTCCTCCTGCTGGTCCACCAGAGCTGGGGAATTGCAGCTTCTTCAAACACAAATGACCAATCCACTCTCAGGTCACCAGCCTGCAGATGTTCCCTTCATCTTCCACCAGAGGGCACCAGTAACCTATACAATCTCATGGGTCCTTAAAACAACATGGTTCAATCGGCTTGACGATAATTCCCAAGTCTTTATTTAAATACTCTAATCCTGGTGTTTTGAGGAATCATTTGAACGATTCCTCTAAAATCCAGGTGAAAAATCTGGAGTAAAAGGGTAACGTAAATGGTACTCTAGCTCCACACCAGTCACCACGAGTCTTCTGTTTTTTATTTTGTCCATTTTTGCCATTGTCTCCATCTCCTCAAGACTATCAGTAACCTAGTGACAGATCATTCTCTCAGTAATAACCTATTGCAGTTCCCTTCTTCCTGATTTATTCTAACGCACGGAACTGCTGCGTTTTCCCTTTGATGTACAGCCTCCCTCCTCCTCCGTCACAGCCCCCCTTCCAGCAGGAGTGGAGGAGGGCTCTATGTCCAGCCTCTGGAGCTTCAGAAGCTGTTTCCCTGACTCCCTTTGTGGTGAGCGTCTAGTGATCGACAGGTACCCATTACAAAAGGCTGTATTGTGGGAGAAAACTCTCCATCTGAGGAAGGGGGACAACTAGGAGACGTTGAGGCCAACCGCCACCACAGCCTCCCTCAAAAAATGACAGGTTTCAGGGGAGCAATGACCACTGGTGTGCGTCTGTTCCATGTATGCATAGACAGTTTGTTCTATATCTGTCTTTGTTCTTTAACCTGA